CTCCTGGGGGTGGGGTGTGGAGGGCACAGTACTTTGAAGATGTTAGCGGCTCCAGGCCCATGAAAATACAGGAGCAGGCCAGCTCCTGGCCCAGATGCTGTCCAGTGCAGCAGACAGGGGCCAGGTAGTCAATGGGGCTCCTCACCCCCAGACTGGGATCCTGCCCCACCCTGGGGGTGGTTAGGGCAAAGTTAGGCCCAGCTGCAAATTGGCATCCTGAAGAATAGATCTGACCTGGTCTTGTTCGGCTTGTAGAGATTTTTTTTTTTAAAACAAACAAACGAACAAAAACAAAACACGAGCCAGAGGTTTCAAATCACTTAAAAATCAGACTTTCTCCTTATAAATTCAGATGTGGCTACCCAGGACCTCCCTCGATGGCACAGGGCATCCCTCGATGATGCCCCCCCCCCCAATGTGTTTCTGTTCCCAGTTGCTTATGTCATCTGAGTCCTATTTGACCCTTGGAGACACCGAAGTCTGCAGCCCTGGGGTGCAGGGTACCCAGGTGGAGGGCCTGGAGCCTGGGGTCAGGGAGCCTGGGGGTGGGGAGTCCCCAGAGCCACCACACAATTCCCCCCAACCCCTCCTGAAGGGGGCATAGCTGGGACTGGGCCCTGGAACGGTCCCTCCCAGCTCCATGCGTGTTGTCAGAAGGGTGCCCGGGTGAGTATGTCCCGTGCCACCCTGATGGGGCTGCAGTTGCTGGAGGTTCTACATGACAGAGCCTCCTCCTGGCTGGCCTCATCTCTGAGTGACCTTGAGGGAGTTCACTCCACTTCTTGGAGCCTGTTTCCTCTTCCACAAATGGGGATGGAATTTTTCAGAGTTGCGGGAGGATTAAATGGGAGGATCAGGACTGGCTGAGTCGCTCCGTTGGTTAAGGGCTTGCTCAAGAGTGCGAGCTCTGAGCAACAAGGTCGCCGGTTCGATTCCCGGCTCGAGCGGAGCTGCCGCTGAGCTGCCAACAGGTGGCAGGATGGCTCAACTTAAAAAAAAAAAAGGGAGGATCATGAGTGTGGCACAGCACCTCAATCAGGCACCTTAGGTAAGTCTGCCTGCCCCCCACCCAGATCCTCCACGGAAGGCCCCCCACAATGCCTCGATGGACATATGCGAGCTGAAACGGGACCTCCAGCTGCTCAACCAGCTTCTGAAGCATCCTCGGAAGAACTCAAGAAGGCCCTCAGCTACCCCTGCTGGCCAGTGAGTGAGGCTCCTAGGGTGCAGGGTGGGGAGGGGTATACCCCAGACCCATACCTGGGCAGGTTGGGGACCTGGAGTGGGAGGCCCAGTGGAGGCCTCTCCCAGGGCTGGAACGTTCTTATCTTTCCATCTCTTCCTGGAGGAGTTGAGATACAGCCTGCAGGCCAATTCCCACATCTGCCTGAGTCAGTATAGATAAAGGTCACTTCTGCCATCCCAGGACCGTACACCGAAACTCTATCCCCGCCAGTAAAGGAGAAACGATGGGCCCATTTCGGAGCTCAGTAGACTGGGGCCACGAGATGGGTAGGGCTGTTTCATGGCCACAGAGTGGATTAACCCAGGTAGAACTAGGCCCGGGACACTCCCCTCCCTGCCCCGTCTCCTTCCCTGTTTGCCTGAAGGTTCCAGCTTCCTCTCTGCCTCCTGCAGGTCACGCTCTCTGTCCAGCTCTCAGCAGCCTGTTTTTCTCTCTTGCCCCCTCTCTGCTCTCCCCTGACCCTCTTTTCCCTCTCTTGTCTCCCTCTTTCCTGAGTCTCTTCCTGTCTGCCTTCCTTCACCCCTGGATCCTCTTCCCGGAAGTCACCCACCCTCTCTCCCCCGCTGCCAGGCGGCTGCAGAGTTTGGAGTCAAAGCTGACCTCCGTGAGGTTCCCCGGGGACACAGTGTCCTTTGAAGAGGATCGGGTCAACGCCACCGTGTGGAAGCTCCAACCCACAGCTGGCCTCCAGGACCTGCACATCCATTCCCAGCAGGAGGTCAGGGGTCAGGATCCGGCGGGCCGGGCGGAAGCAGATGTGGAGGCTGTGAGCGATCCCCTCCCCCAGGTCTCCTGGAGCCAGATGTGTGCTGACAAGCCTCGGGCCCAGGGAGCACCCTCTGTCAGTGGCTACCCCGTGGCACTAAAGACACTTTCTGGCACAGTGGTGCTCCCTGCGTCAGCTGCTCCTGCGGCACACTGTGTGAACAGCAGACTGACCCCAAAATGCCTGTGCATGCACCCCAGTCTTGACACTGCCCTGTGAGCGGGCCTTGTTAGCCCACTCAGTATGGGAACCACCCACACTGCCCTCATATCCCACCACACCAGTATGCGATAGGAAGAGTTGGCGTCTGAAACCCAGACATGGGAATACCATGTGATTCTCCCAGGCCTCTTTGCCCCTGTGGCCCTGGGCTCTAACCACAAGGCTCCCCAGCCAGTGCTTGTGCCAAGGAAAGGAGGGGTGGGAAGGGCTGTAGTGAGAGGCATGGCTTCCTGCAGGAGGGGGGCTTACAGGTGGCGGCATCAAACTCAAATGCCTACAGGACCAGGCCTCAAAACAGACACCAGAGAATGCGGAGTGGGGCTGGCTAGAGAGAACTGCCAGGTGGCCCCACAGGCATTTGAGTTTGATGCTGCCCTCTCTAAGCCCACATCCTGCAGGAAGCCATTAGAGGTGGCAGCATCCAGGAAGGTGTGTGCATGGGTGGGAAATAGAGGGGAGCTATGGGCTCACTTCTGGCTGAACCCTAAAGGGACTCTGGTCTGCAGCAGGAGCAGAATGAGATCCTGGAGTACTCAGTGGTGCTGCCCCGGGTGCTCTTCCAAAAGACCAAAGGCCGGAGGGAGGAGGCTGAGAAGAGACTCCTCCTGGTGGACTTCAGCAGTCAAGCCCTGTTCCAGGTATGGGGCCCTCGTCCTCACGCGCTCCCCTGGGAAAAAACAGTGTCTGTCTGACAGAGGGATGGAAGTAAGGCATGGAGCCCAGGCTCCTCCTCCAGGAGGAAGAGCCTTTCCTTATAGAGTCAGAAACTGGTATGCAACATGCAAATCTCCCTGGGAAAGGTCTGAATAGTATTGTTCTCACTATAGTGTAAATGACTACACGTGCGATAATTGTTTCCAGAGGGAGACTCAGCATCTCAGAGCAATGTGCTGGGGAGAGAGTCTACAGCGCCTAGGAGACATCTGGGCCTTTCTTCTCAGCCCTGAGTCCTCTCCCTACTCTCCTCTCCCATCTCATATGTCTAGGACAAGAATTCCAGCCAAGTCTTGGGTGAGAAGGTCTTGGGTATCGTAGTGCCGAACACCAAAGTAGCCAACCTCTCGGAGCCTGTGGTGCTTACCTTCCAGCACCAGCCGCAGCCGGTGAGTGTAAGCAAACCAACCAAGGAGACGAGGGTCCCCGCTGGGCCACGTTCTCCTTTCCTCCCCCTGTCTTCTGAATCACTAGTCTTTAACAAAATGATTGACTATCTGAGGGCACCAGCCAGTCGGGTCTAAATGGGGTGGTGGCCTGACACTCCGTTAACCTGGCCCATGAAGGGGTGAGCTATAATGGGACCCACTCTCCCTTCTTGTCTCTACAGAAGAACGTGACTCTGCAGTGTGTATTCTGGGTTGAAGATCCAGTATGTGAGTGTGGAGGGGTCTGTGTGGGGCGGGTATCTGGAGAAGAAAGGGGGTCGGGAGGGTGGGGGAAATGGGGTTAATAAAGGAGGGCAGGGCTGGCTGAGTGACTTGGTTGGTTAAGAGCTTGCTCAAGAGTGTGGGCTCTGAGCAACAGGGTCCCCTGTTAGATTCCCATATGGGCCAGTGAGCTGCCAACAGGTGGCAGGATGGCTCAGCTGGTCAGAGCACATGCTCCTAACATCAAGGTTGCCTGTTTGAGATGGTGGCTACACCAGCCCACAAGTAAAGACTGAACTCGGCACCTTGAGCTGAGCTGCTGCCCAGGTGGCTCAGGGGATAGAGCACACGCTCTTAACAACAAGGCTGCTGGGTTCGAGTCCCGCATGGGATGGTGGCTACGCCCACCCGCAACTAATTGAACAAAGCACCATGAGCTGAGCAGTGCAACTGGACGTGGAGCTGAGCTAGCTGCGCCCGCCACAGCTAAGACTGAAGGGAAACGACTTGGCTGTTCCCCTCCCCCAATTCCCCAATAAAATCTAAAAAAAAAAGAAAAAGAAAATAAAGGAGGGCATCCTGGAGAAAAAAGGGCTTTGAAGAGGGAATGATGGCAGAAGACGGGGCTGCCAGGTGGAGCAAAGACTCAGAAGAACATTTAGGGGGTGGGGTCCAATGGGGTCCTGGGTAACTGGGCTTGATCAGAGCCCCATGCGGTCCCCTCCTCAGTGAGCAGCCTGGGGAGCTGGAGCAATGCCGGGTGTGAGACCATCAGGAAGGAGAAACAGACATCCTGCCGCTGCAACCACCTGACGTACTTTGCAGTGCTAATGGTGAGTCCTTCTCCTGCCCAGCAGCCATACTGCAGGCGGAGTTCTTGCTGTGTGCCAGTCACTTTCCCACAGCATGTCATTCATTCCTCACAACAACCCTCGAGGTGGCTCCTGTTGTCCCATTTTATAGATAAGGTAACTGAGGCTCAGAGAGGTTGAGCAATTTACCCAACGTCACACCGCTAATAAGTAAAAGAGCTGGTCTTTAAAGCCCTTGCTGTTTATTCACAAGTTTTGGTGTATGATAAAAATGCAGATTCCTGGCCTTAACCTAGGATTCTGATTCCACAAAGCTGGAATGTGTTTTTAATGAGCCCTCGAGGGGGTACTGAATCCCAGTATGGAGGCCCTTGAGGTGGGTGTCAGTGTCCCTGAGATCTCAGAAGCTTTGTGTCCGGGTTTATGCTCCCCAAACCTTAGGACCCAGCATCTGAGGGACTGGAGGGGCCTTCAACTCTCCTTGGGGGTGGGTGTTCCCTGTCTCACAAGAAACTTATTCCTGTGTGGAATGTTGTAGAAAAATAACTAATGCCAGCATAGAAGAGGGGTTCTCTGATGAGGGTTTTTGACATTTGTGGGTCAGGGACCCATTGGAGAATGTGGTAAAAGCTATAGACCCCCCTCCAGAAAAATGCACTCATGGGACCAGAGTTGGCTCAGTTTGGGGAAGTGGTTCATAGACTCCCGAGGTCCACCCAGGGACCACAGATGAGCTGTGGTCAGTGCTGAGTGGGGACGCTGACACCAGCCCCGACCTACCTCCTGGACCTAGGTGGCCTCTGTGGAGGTGGATGCCGTGCACAAGCATTACCTGACCCTCCTCTCCTACGTGGGCTGCGTCGTCTCCGCATTGGCCTGTGTCCTCACCATTGCTGCCTACCTCTGCTCCAGGTAGGGCCCGGGAGCGGGCAGGAGTCGGGAGGGAGACCCTCCATTCCAGGCCCCCGGGCCAAGACCCTACCACCATGGGGACCCACCCTGGAGACTGGCCTGACTGGCCCCAAAATGTGTGTGTGTGTGTGTGTGTGTGTGTGTGGTTGTGGATGCCGTGGGAGGTGCACAGCTGGCCCGCGGGGCCTGCGTTTCCTTCTCAGATCTGTGGTGTTTGGATAGCAGCATTTACCAATTTTATTAACTGAAAATAGTGAAAGTTGGGAGAGTTGACATAAGAATCTAGATTTTTGCCTTTGACTAATCAGATGTGATACCACGGGGGCACATTTAATAAGATGATAATAATGATCATGGTTTACACTTACGTGGAGCTTCCTACGTGCCATGCGCTGTTCTAAGTGCTTTCTATGCCTGAACTTTGGCTTATCCTCACAAAGGCCCTATGAAAGTGCTCAGAGAGGGTAAGTGACTTGCCTGAGGCCACATAGCAAGGAAGTGACAAAGGCAGGGTTGAACTCAGGCAGGCTGACTCCAGGTCCACAGGCCTCAGTTGCTGGAGCTGAGGAGCAGTGGCCACTGTGGACAGCACAGCCTCAACAGTTCTCTCCAGCCCCCCATTCTCTGGTATCTGTTTTGAGGCCTGGCCCTGGCATTTGAGTTTGACACCCTTCCACCCCGTGAAGGCGTGTCAGCCCAGTTATTTGGGTGCCTTGAGGAAAGAGCCCCAAGGGAAACTTTGGTGGCCCGATGAGCACCTTCACCCACCTTAGACTGGCTGTGTGGGGTCTGAATTGTCAGTGCTGGGCTTGGCCTAAATGGAGGTCCACCTGAAGTCAGGGCTTGGGCCCGTTTTGGGGGGGGGGAGACACCCTTGGTTTTGTGGGATAGCTGGAGTATGCTCACAGAGCACGGCTGGGGTCATTGGGAATGGGGGGGAAAGGTCAACAGTGCCCTGGACCAGGTAGAACCCTGGGGTGGGGGTGGGCGGGGATGTGCACACACAGACTCACAAACCTGAAGACAGACATACACCCCCCCACACACTCACAGACTCACAGATGCATAGTTGTGCAGACAGATAGGCGGGCACAGAATTTGGGTGGCATGGATTCTCCAAACAAATCCAGTCTTTCCCCTCTGACTTTGGGAGCATCTGGTTGCTTATAGTGACTGTTTGTCTGCCTTGCTCTGTCTGCCTAAGGCTAATGTTAAATGTGCACACAGTGCCCAAGCCCGTGGGTGCTGGGCACACAGTAGGTACACAATGACGAGCGGGGAACAGCTTGACTACAGCCACAGGAATAGGAAAGGGAGAGAGAGAGAGAGAGAGAGAGAGAGAGAGAGAGGGAGTGTGTGTGTGTGTGTGTGTGTGTGTGTGTATGTGTGCATGTGTAGCTTGGAAGGCTGCCTGGGGAATGAGGAGAAGAAGGCACCCACCTGCCTCTCCACACTGGTCACCAGGGTGACCCTTCCCCCATACCCCTCATCCGGTTCAGGAGGAAGCCCCGGGATTACACCATCAAGGTGCACATGAGCCTGCTGCTGGCCGTCTTCCTGCTGGATGTGAGCTTCCTGCTCAGCGAGCCGGTGGCCCTGACAGAGTCGAAGGCCGGCTGCCAGGCCAGCGCCATGTTCCTGCACTTCTCCCTGCTCGCCTGCCTCACCTGGATGGGCCTCGAGGGCTACAACCTCTACCAACTCGTGGTCGAAGTCTTCAGCACCTATGTTCCCAACTACCTGCTCAAGCTGAGCATCGTGGGCTGGGGTAAGTTGATGGAAGGTGTAGGTGGGCCTCCCAGATCGGCCTTGGCTTCTGGTCAAACACAGACACCTAGTTCCGCTTTTCCACCTACCTCTCTGACTGTTCCCTCACTGCTCTACTCACCACTACCCCCATCCTCAGGGGTACTTTACCTTGGCTGGGTCAAGGTCCCCTTTAGGAAGATGAGGTGATGAGCCCTGTCCCCAAGAAACACTTACATATTCTCTACCTCACTCACTCCTTTAAAAGGGAGGTTTGCAGACAGAGCGACCACATACGGATGTGTCACATATGGATGTACAGGTTGTGCACTGCTCAAAGGCACCCAGGTCGGGGATGAGTGGGGCTGTAATCCGGTCCTCCATTCGCCCACTTCACCCAGGCTGGCAGTGGTCCTGACTGTGGATCCCCCTGAACCTCAGGTAACAGAGTCTGTGGCTCTGCCATTTGTTCTTGGTCAACGACACCCCAATTCCCCTATGGTCCAGACCTCTGTTATGTCAGACTGGAGGCCCAGGGGCACACATCACAAGTCCTTTGAACATTGTACAGGACCACGGACCTCCACACATTCCTGACCCCAACTTGTTTCTCCTGCGTTTCCCATTTCACTCCATCTTGGTTCACTCCATTGATTCACATGAAATTCCTTCAGCGTTGACTCCGTGTCAGGTCAGGTGTTGAGCAGTAGGTGACCCCTTCAGGGAGCTCTCAGTGTCCACCTCATGGACAAGGTCAAGAACCAGTGCAGACATCCCCTGGGGCCAGAACTCTGGACCTCCCTCTCGAACTGTCCCCCACCCCACCAATGTCCTGTGTGTCCCTCCCATCTTCTTTGTGACATCCAGCCCCTCAGCAGGTGAAGGGGTAAGGGTCAGGTCAGGAGACATGGGCTTCCTCTGTGGGAAACCCCAACTGGAGTGGGAAGGGGAGGATCCCAGCTTGGAGGACCTACCCCAGATGGGACTGGGTGGGCTCTGGGAGTACAGGCCTGCGAGACGGTCTCACCAGAGGGCAGGGGAGGGGCCAGCCTCCCGGGGTGGGAGATTAAGCTCCACACGTTGCTGCCTGCAGGCTTCCCCATCTTGCTGGTGACACTGGTGGCACTGGTGGACATGAACAACTATGGCCCCATCTCTCTGACTGTGCGCAGGACTCCAGAGAGTGTCATCCGCCCTTCCATGTGAGTGGCTGTGTGAAGTGGGGGCTGGAATGTGGGCTCTGGGCTGCAGAGGGTAGCAAGCAGCCCGGGCCCGGGCCACACTGACCAGGAGACTCCTGGGTGCCAGGCTGCTGGAGGTACTGGCCTGGCAATGGCCAGAGCACTGGGCTAAAGGCCAGGGAGGGTGAGAACAGGCCTGGATCTGCTCCTCACTCGCCAGGTGACCTTTTGCAGGTCCTCAGTTTCCCCATTTGAGTATGAGCATGGGTTGGAGCAGCTGCGTCCCCACCATGTTTCTTTGCTTCACTCTTCTATCTCCCCATGCTCAGAAAGACTGAGGCCCAGAGAGGGCAGGAATCCATGCTCCCCTGCCCACAAGCACCCAGCTGGGGGATGAGTGGAGCTGAAATCCATTCTTCCTCGACTCGCCGAAATCTCCCAGGCTGGCGGTGGCTCCGCCTGTGGGTCCCCTTGAACCTAGACTAGAACCCAGGGTTCCTGAGCCCCAAGCTGGGAAGGAAGTCTTCCCATGCCTCGGTGTTTTGAAATGTTCAGTCTTTTACATCATGACCTTGTGATTTTTGTTTCACCTTTGCACTGCCTGTATTGTTATTTGCTTAATATTTTTCTTTGAATTGTCTCCATTTAAATGTATTTAAAAAAGTTATCATATCAACTATAAATAGGATATAAGCATCACTTGTCAGAAACAGTGAGTAATCGTGAAAATACACATGAGGGTCAGGAAACCCTGGTACTAAATGCTGGCTGAAGGTTGTGGGCCCGAGGTTGGCTCTTTGTTGAAAAGGGAAACTAGCAAGTGTTCAAGGTGCTAAAAACACATCAGCACCTCCCTAGGTTACAAAGAAGGAATAAGGAGAGCTGAAAAGACGGTGGCTTTCTCACCCTATGGGCCAGTGGTTCTTAAAGCAGCTCCCCTGTGACTTCGGGCTCATTGTGACACATGTGATGCCCACGCATGGCCCAGCCCCGCCGCGCGCTGAGGTTTCATGTCCTGGTCCGTAGGTGCTGGATTCAGGACTCCCTGGTCAACCACGTCATCAACATGGGCCTCTTCAGCCTGGTGTTTCTGTTCAACACGGCCATGCTGGTCACAATGGTGGTGCAGATCCTGCGGCTGCGTCCACACACCCAGAAGTGGCCCCACGTGCTGACACTGCTGGGCCTCAGCCTGGTCCTCGGCCTGCCCTGGGCCTTGGTCTTCTTCTCCTTCGCATCTGGCACCTTCCAGCTTGTTGTCCTCTACCTCTTCAGCATCGTCACCTCTTTCCAAGGTAGGTATGAAAAAGACCCCGCCCCTTGGCCTGGGCAGAGTGCCCACGCATGGAACACAGGGCAGAGATGACCCAGGCAACCTGAAGGTGTCCCTTCTCTGGGCCTCGTTTTTCTCCTTCATAAAAGGGGGGCGTCCAGGACACAGTCACCAAGCCTTTATTCAGTACCTACTATGTGCAGGTACCTACGCTAAGCCCTGGAGCCATAGTTGCAAAACGGCTGGGTACGGGCCTTGCTTCTACGGGGCTCATCTCTAGTGGGGGCGACTGAACACGGCAAGCACGCAGGCAGCCATCAAAGGGGATCTCCGAGAGCAGGGAGTCATAATGGGCGATATGATGGACAGTCTGGGCTAAGGAGGCGGACACTTTGGGGAGGATGGCCAGGGAGGCCTCTCTGTAGAGGAGACATTTGAAGATAGCAGGAGGATCTAGCCAGGGAGAGAGCACGGTCCTCATTACTCCAAGTGTGGTCCTCGGACCAGCAGCATCAGTACCACCAGGAGCTTGTTAGAAACAGACGCTGGCGTGTCCCAGACGTGCTGAGTCAGAATCCACATTGTAACGGGTGCCCAGGTGATGCATGAGAGAGCTATAGCTGAGGAGGCCTGGCCTAGGAGAGGAGCACTCCAGGCAGAAGGTCCTGAGGTTGGAACAGGCTGTGTGTTGGAAAAATAGTGAGGACAAATGGGGCTAAAGTGTAGTGACTGGAGGCAGAGGGGGACGAGAAGGTGGAGGGGCTGGAGCAGAGGGGCCGGGTTGTGAGGGCCTGGCTTGATGACAGAAGAGTCCCTTCCTGCCCTACCTGCACTCCTCCACCCACGCCCCCCACATCACACACACACACACACACACACACCTGCACACCTCTGTCCTTGGCTGTGTTGGGTAGGGATGGGGACTTGCCCAGGAACCTGATGGAACAGGTGTGGGGGATGGGGTTGAGGGAGGGGAGTTTCTCCTTCTCACCTGTGTCATGAAGGGGACTCTGTAAAGATTATAAATGATGCCCCTTAATCCACACCAACATCTACTGAGCTGTTAATAAATCATAGTATGATTTGGAGAGGAGCAGTATTCAGTGATTAAACAGGTGGGCTGCAGGGTCCAACCACTGCTGTCTGACTTCTGGCTCAGCCAAGTCGCCTTACCTCCCTGGGCTTCCGTTTCCTCGTTTATAACACAGAATAGTATTGAATAGGTCTAGCTTCATAGGAACCTCAAGAGAACAAAGTGAGATGGCATGCAGTGAATTGCACAGGGCCTGCCACATAGTAGGTGCCCCTGAGGCCACATCGGTCCAGCAGCCTGTGTCAAGAGGGCGAGGGGCAGATCTGAGTCAAGGTGGCCCTGGCAGGGAGGAGTTGGTGGGGGGGCTGCTACCAGCCTGCTGACCCTGGTGCCGCTCGCTGCCAACAGGCTTCCTCATCTTCCTCTGGTACTGGTCCATGCGGCTGCAGGCCCGGGGCAGGCCCTCCCCTCTGAAGAACAGCTCGGACAGCACCAGGCTCCCCATCAACTCGGGCAGCACCTCGTCCAGCCGCATCTAGGCCACCAGCCACCCACCCAGTGTGAAGAAGCAGAGACATGGCTTCTCCACACCACCGCCTGCGGCCCCTGCAGCTGGGCCTGTCTGTTGGCAGGTCAGCCAGAGACTTGAGAAGGCCCAAGGACCTTGGAGGGTTGGAGCTGTTGCCATGGTGGCCGGACTTCCAGGATGGGCCTCCTGAATTGGCCTGCGGATTACTAAGCTCTCAGGTCCGGCTCACAAGTGTCTCAGGAGTGGGCCCATCCTCCTGGCCATCCTAACATGGGGCTGTATGCCAGTCTTAACGCTCCTGCACTGGGCTTAGCCTTTGTGGCTAGAGACTGGGAGCCTGCAGGCCCCAGAGTCAGGTCCCCGGCCTTGGAGACCTGGCCCTGTGCCCCTCCCCAGGACAGAAACGTGCCATAGCTATTCTGTTTCTGGCGATCACCACAAGGGCACTTGGCAGCTTTGTCATTTTAACACAAGGGTGGCACCCACGGCAAAAGGGGTTGGGGCCAAGCTTCAGACCCCTGGTGGAGGAGAGCCCCTCCCCAGAGCACAGCAGCAGCTCCTCTGCCTCTGAGCTTAGGACTTCAACCTCCACCAGCTTTCCCAGCCTTCCTTCTCTCCTCCCCTGTCCTCCACTCACAGCCCGGGGTCCCCAATTCCAGTGGTCTATTTTGGGCTGTGGTTCCCAAGAGCCGCCTGTGCCTGCTGTAAACCTTTATTTACTGCCCGGGCCTTGGCTGGCCCCTGACTCAGGCTTAGTTTAGACATCCTGGGCTGGGCTAGGTCCTTCTGTCCTCTGGGCCTCTCCATAAGCTGCATCACCCTTGTTCACCACTGCCAAGCCCACACCTCGCAGGGGACCGCAGCCTCTCCCAAAATCCTCTGGTAGGAAGAGCTGTGAAGCGTAGCCGAGCAAATCTGTTTTTATTCCAGCACTCTGAAGACTGAGAGACATGCCTTCCCTGGTGGCACTGGCCTAGAGCCCATCACAGTTAATTTTGTTGAATATGGATGGCCAGTCCCAGTTGCTCCCCCTGAGAACTCTCAATATAGTGTGTGGGGTGTGCATGAGGCAACAACTCCTGGAGCTACAGACATGGGGTCGGGGGAGCTATCATCCGGATGGGAAATCCAGGAAGACTTCCTACAGGAGGCAGCATTCGATCTGGATCTCAGCTTTAAAGACGGGGAGGACTTTCTTTTTAAATGACAAGTTCATTGTCTTTTGATATTAAAGAGAAGTACATGTTCATTGTAGGGAATTTGGACACTGTAGAAGAGTATAGAGAAGAAATAAAAATCAGCTGTTGTTATCACCTCACAAGCCAATGTAAACATTTTGGGGCCTTTCCTTCTGAGCTTCTCTGATTCTATTAGGAGTCACTGATTCAAACACCCTGGGGCCAATCAGGAAACACAAACAAGAGAAGAGGACCATGTGTGGGGAAAAAAAAAAAATCTAGTCCCGGAAACTTTATCAGGGCAGGGGTAAGGACCAATGGCAACTTGGCATCTGTGCTAGGGGGCAGTGAGGAGTGGTGAGGTCTGTGGTGCACTGGAGATTACACACCCACACTGAGGGGGCAGTGGCTACTCATCTCTAGCCAGTCTCTGCCTTGCAAGGATGAGGGCCTGTGTAGCGAGACCATCTGCTTTCTATGAGAAATGAGAAATCCAGATGGTGGTGGTGTAAAATTCCCCAATTTAAACGTTTGTGGTTAATCCAAAATATTCGTTGGCCGAAGAAATCACAGTGCTGAATCCAGGCCTTGGCTGGTCACAGCATGTATGTAACCAGTGTATTGACCCATGTGAATGAAACAGGTGGGCTGCAAGAATGAAATGATTGTACTATTTTCGCATCAGTGTTTTCAGCCTTGTTTGGTCTCCCCTCCATGTCTCACGGCACAGGTGAGGCAGATCAAATACATTTCTGTCCCCCTGGAGTTATGACAGCAGTCGTGTTTGATCATTGCTATTTGTGTCTAGGTTGAAAAGCCCCGTGTAGGTCCACCCAGGTCCACATCCGAACTTTCTGCCCTCCAGTCTCCTCCCTCTGCTCCTGGCTGCTTCCAGGGGAGCATGGGCCAGCCAGCAAAGAGGCACCGGTCTCTGGAGTTGGATGGGATGGGTGCAAAGCCACCATGGCAACCAGGGATACACTGGCAGTGCCCCCTGACAGATATGAATGTGGGATCTTTGGGGGTCTTCAGAGACCTCTACACATGGGAACCCCCTGCACCCTGCCTTTTTCCAA